TCACATAGACCACCGGAGTCATCGTTTTATTCGTCTGAATTGTCGAACGCTTACTGACGTCCATCGTTAGAGATGAAAGCGTCAACGAAAAAGTAAACAACAGTTTCAGGGGCCGGGGACCCATCAAACCCCTTTGAAGTCAGTCCGGAGATGCCTGCGCAGGGTGATGTAGCGCCACCGCCAGATCGATAAACCTATTGACTGAGTTCTTATCCGAGCCCCGGCTTCAATCAATGCTTGGCCTGTCTTGCTGCTAGCCTGGCGGCTGCGAGCTTCAAATGGTGACCCGTATCGTAGGTATGGCCAACCATTCAGCGATAATGTGTCACTCCATCTTACAGGCAGCTTATGCTAGTGTATGCGTGAACCAAGCAGGCACGCAGTCAGTCCTGTATTCACACGGAAGGGCTTTGGTCAGTGTGAGGGCGGCCAAGCACGCTTCCAATCTGTCCTATATAAGTTCGAGGATAGTTTAGCCTCGATATGCGATACGCTACACCTGACTACTCACTAGGAGTTTCATCACTCAACTGCGCATGGTAGCCTTGGGACGGTGTGCAATTCCAACGCGTAGGCCAGCAGCACTGCGTTCGGTCGCTTCTGACACGTTCTTGATGTGGGGCAGTGCATGCCATACCGTGTGCGCTGATTCTGGTTGAGTCCTCGGAGTATTCAAACGTCAGCAATGGCTTATGAAGGCCTTCGGAGAGCCGTTCCGCATAAACTGTTCAAGATAATATCTAGCCTCAGGAGCCTTTTTTTCGGGTTACTGCAGTACCTCTGGATTCTTTTGAGCAGCTTTCTCACGCAGCTTCGTTTGTGAGCCATCAGATGGTTGCTGGGAAAGTTGAGAAGCTGTGTGGTGTTCGTCACCTTCTGGTAGACAGTTGTTTCTATTTCGCATGACGAGTGTGTCTATTGGCTACGGCTTATCCACCAGACCCGGCTGTAGCGTTTGTTTTCAGGGCAGTAGACAAGGTGCAGTCTTAATAGATTGACACTTAGCTGCAAAAAAATGAAAATTTGAACTCTTGTATGCTTTTAAAGCAAGCATTGGTGGGCTGCAGATTGCAAATTCATCAGCATCCCGTTTAACTGTGAATTTAATGCGCGAAATTAACAGAATGAAGAGACGGTGCGTATTCCCAAAGATGTTGGCGGTAAATGAAGTGGGGGACAAAGTAAAACTCAATATGTGCGGATTGATGTCTTTTGTTTGGCATTGCTAGACTGTTAATTTTATAATCTTCCAGTTGCAAGACCTAGATATGCCTCGGACTCAGGGCGCCGATTTTAGTAGGCTGATGACACTCAGCATTCTCAAGGAGAGATATAACAGAATCCATTTTACTGGCAACACAGGAGTTGGCCACGCACTCAGACACGCGTTCGGCCGTTATTCCTGTTGTAACGGTGGCCCAAGCTGCGATATCGCCTCGTGTGAGCCCCCAAAGAAGAACAAGACAAATAGTGCGTAGAAAGCAGAAATCGTTCGAGAAACCTAGTACAGCATAATTTAAAGCAAGCGAACGCGTATGTACAAGTTTGAACCAATTAGATGGTGGTCACAAGTAAGGCACGACTTTATTAGCTGTGTGAATCATGCAGTTGGCGTGTTGGGCTTGCGCTTGGCTGGAGCTGGGCGTGGCGTTGCACAATATACTTTGTGTGGGCGAACCGGTTGTCTGGCGTAGAAACGACTCATCAGGGCGGCGTGCACTCGCACTTAAGACGGGCCCTGAAAACTCCACCGATGCATAGCACAGTTACCAAATGGTTTGTGGCATCAGCATCCAGCATTCTCTGCAAGATATCTGAGAGATAGTTTACTATTGACATCGCTATGTTTTAACGTACCTCGGAAGAATAATCGTTAGTTGAAAGAAAAGCTTTTTTAAAGGTAAGGTTTATAGACGCGGACAAAAAGCTGATGCGCATACTTCGACCGAGATCCTACAGTCACAACGGGTTAACCCGGTAATTTTTGTTAAGCAGCCAACAGCACTAATGCTACTTAAAAGCCCAGACGCGAGTTTCGCCCATTTCTGCCGCTACTTGACATAGCTAATCACTGGGTTTTTCAGCATTCCCCCTGTGCTTTCTGGCAGATTTTCTTGTTTTTAAATGGCTGTCTATTGGTCGTTTAATGAATATAAAGCGGTGGTACCACTGTGACAGATGAACTTCGGTTAAATATTCTTATCAATTTTTAGGATGAAGCTTAATTCCGACTGACTAGCACTGAGTAAGCATTTACTTTCTAAGAATAGTAAAAAGCGGCAATCTGGTTTCGTACCTGTTAAAAGGCATCGAGTTCTAGATTCTACAGCATTCCATTTAACGAAGTGTGAACATAAAACATAACTATGCAGCATTATACAGCATCCCATTTAATTACCGCCTCAGAGTGCGAAAGAAAGAGAATGAGAGATTGTGAGCATTCCTAGAGATGCTGAGGAAGAAAATTGCCGAAATAAAAATGGTGGTGAAAAACTAACTTGAACACTGGAACGAGTAAATGGTTGATGATCGACCAGAGCTACATTTCTGCTACTTGACTGGTTCACTAGTTTCAAGAAACGAACATATGCCGGACCTGAACGGCGTCACCTCCAGGCCCCACAAGTCTGGAGAGGTCATATCCGCTGAAAAATGTCCTAAGATAAGCGAAGCTATGAGGTTTCCAGCGATGGCATGCACAGGGAGCAGCCAGGGTTAGACCAGTTCGGTGCTCAATCTATAGCCAAAGCTTGTGCTTAATAAATGCCAGTTGCCCACCACGTAACCTACGTTATCCGCCCACGTACCTATATTTTTTTCATCTACTTTTGCTGTCTAAACAGCTTGCCATTTCCTGATTAATGTTTTAGTTTTAGCCCTAAAATGAAGCACGTGGTAGACCTTCTCCAACACGGGATCAAGATCAGAATAAGACAAATGTTATTTGTAGATGCCATAAATGGCACATCTAGGTGCAGTATCACGCCGGGCTAGCCACCTGCGCCTGAGTTCGGGTTGGAGTGGATAGGGTGTGAGAGAGTGCGGTACATGCCGTGCAAGTCTGGTATCTTTATAATTTAATCCCTACACAATTCAACATCCCTGCGCCTATCATGTTGGTGAGCACATGGTCGCTGTCTTCGGAGTCGAAGATTGAACTGTTTTCTGGTGTTTCAGTTCAGGCCCGATTTGTTTAAATGCTCAGCGGTGGTCGAACCGGTGGCCTGACTGTGTGAATTTCTGATTGGTTGACAGCCAAACAAGCTTCTCAATAAGTCCATCTTTTCTGCTTACGAAGCTTACCGCAGTCCTCCCTGCATACAGAGGTGGCTTGCACGCAACTTTCACTATGAGGACAAAATGTGTTTAAATACGTAGCCAGTTTATGGAAACATCTAACCGATTGCAAACCGCCC